CAGCTGCAGCTGCAGCAGCAGCAGCTGCTGCTGCTGCTGTTGCTGCTGCTCTTCCTGCTGCTGCTGCTGCTGCAACAGCAGCAGCAGCAGCAGCAGCAGCAGCAGCAGGCGGAGGAGACTGCTGCGGCTGTTGCAGCAAAATGCATAAAGCTGCCCCTCAATCGTTAGTTTGTTGCTGTTGTTGCTGCTGCTGTTCCTGCTACTGCTGCTGCTGCTGCTGCTGCTTTTGCTGCTGCTGCTGCTGCTGCTGCTGCTGCTGCTGCTACATATAAAATTTTGGGGTCCCTGTGTGTAGCTGGCTGCTGTCTGGATGCGGCAGCACCCCATAAGCACCGTTGCGCTGCCGCTGCTGCTGCTGCTGCTGCTGCTGCTGCTGTTGCTGCTGCTGCACATAGGGTACAAATGAAGGCTGCTGCTGCTGTTGCTGCTGCTGCTGCTGCTGCTCCANTGCTGCTGCTGCACATAGGGTACAAATGAAGGCTGCTGCTGCTGTTGCTGCTGCTGCTGCTGCTGCTCCAGTGTGTCGAGTGCACCTGGTGCTGCAGCAGCAGGACCCCTAGCAGCAACAGCAGCAGCAGCAGCAGCATCACCCCATAGGTCTCTATCATGATGGTGCTGCAGCTGCTGCGCATAGGATGTTGTTGCTGCTGCTGCTGCTGCTGCTTGCTGCGAGTTGTGTATAGCCTGCTGCAGCAGCTGCTGCTGCATGTGGAAGGACCCCCCAGTAGATACACCGGCGAAGTGAGAAGCAGCAGCAGCAGCAGCAGCAGCAGCAGGAGAGGGCCCATAACGATCTGCATGCGGGGGCGGGGCTAGGGACCCTTGTACGAGAGTAGGAGCAGCAAACAAGTCTTTGGGTCTTGCTGCTGCTGCTGCTGCTGCTGCTGCTGCAGCTGCTGCTGTGCGAAAGTGCTGCTGCTGCTGCATATACACCCCAGAAGGATCTCCACTATCAGCAACAGCACCGAGATGCTGCTGCTGCAGTTGCTGCTGCTGCAGTTGCTGCTGCTGCAGTTGCTGCTGCTGCAGCTGCTGCTGCTNCTGCTGCAGTTGCTGCTGCTGCAGTTGCTGCTGCTGCAGTTGCTGCTGCTGCAGCTGCTGCTGCTGCAGCAGCTGGCGCGCATGCAGCATCTCCGTCTGCAGCAGAGAAGGAGGCGGCTGCAGCACCGGGTGTACCTGCTGCGTGGGGAAGTGTAGGGTTCTGGTTTGCTGCTGCTGCTGCAGTTGCTGCTGGAGTTGTTGCTGCTGTTGTAGTTGTTGCTGCTGCAGTTGCTGCTGTTGTAGCTGCTGCTGCTGCAGCTGCTGCTGCTGCTGCAGCTGCTGCTGCAGCGGCAGCAGCTCCTGGTGTGGTGCTGCTGCTGCGTCTCTCGCCCATATTGCTGCTATTGTATCGGGGGCAACCCGCGGCGCTGGCTGCGCGAAGTTGCTGCTCCATAGAGAGAATCCTGCTGCTGCTGCTGCTGCTGCTGCTGAAGTTTTCTGGGTATGCGGGGACTGCTGCTGTTGCTGCTGCTGCTGCTGCTGCTGCTGCTGCTGTTGATACAACTGCTGCTGCTGCATATGACGCAAATGCAGCTGCTGCAGCTGCTGGTGATGAGCTGCTACAGATGCTAGGAGTTGCTGCTGTGGTAGTGCTGTTGCTGCTGCTGCTGCTGCTGCTGCTGCTGCTGCTGCTGCTCCGCCTGCTGAGGGGTACCACGGGTCTGCGCTCGCCCGAAGGGTCCCCGGGCTGCTGGCGCGGCTCATCCCCGTCATCTGCTGCTGCTGCTGCTGCTGCTGCTGCTGCTGCTGTGGCGGTGGCGGTAGAGAGATCATAGGATGCTGTTGCTGCTGCTGTTGTTGCTGCTGCTGTTGCTGCTGCCACTGGTCTGCTAGTGCTGCTGCTGCTGCTGCTGCATCTGCTGCAGCACTGTCTCCTGAAGGAGACAGCAATTCTTCCTGCTGCTGCTGCTGCTGCTGCTGCTCCTGCTGCTGCTGCTGCTGATCTCCAGAGAAGTCTGCTGCTGCAGCACAGCTGCTGCTCGCCGCTGCAGAG